AGAGAGAGAGAGAGAGAGAGAGAGAGAGAAGAGAGAGAGAGAGAGAGAGAGAGAGAGAGAGAGAGAGAGAGAGAGAGAGAGAGAGAGAGTTTTTCTGGGAAAGAAGAGCTACGAATTGATTTTTCTTTTGCTTCTCTCAATAGAAAATGCTACATACATCATGGTAAAAACTGGTAAGAACTGGACAGATGCTCAGAGCTACTGCAGAGAGTATTACACAGATCTGGCCACTATCCACAACTTTCAGGAAAATCAACAGTTAACCAAGATCCTTTTAACTGGATATTACTTCTGGATTGGTCTGTTCAGGGACTCTTGGGAATGGTCTGATAAATGGAGCCGCTTCTTTAGAAACTGGGCAGCAGGACAACCATCCCAGACTTCAGGATCTGGAGACTGTGTCGGCATGTCAACAACTGATACTGGGAAATGGGCTCATGAAAGCTGTGATCTAAAGCGTTCTTTTATCTGCCATGGATGTGAGAATTTAATACTGTATCATGCTAGACAGAATGACTTTCATGTCTGTATAGAAGTAGTGTGCATTACTGTATTTCACAGGCAGTGTACAAGCACAACAATAAGCTGATTACTGTAAAAAAAAATTAAATAAAAATTAATTCTAAAAACCTGACACTCAAAACAGCGCAAAATAATATAAAAATTCAAATTGCAAATAAATAATAGACTGACCTATGCAGAAAGTGTGCAAGGAAGCTGTGACTATTCCAACCCGATCTCACAACCAAGTCGTACGAATTCGACGAATGATTAAAAAGTGGCTAATTCGTAACAATTCATACGACCTCACTCGTACGAATTAATACGATTTTGCTAAATCGTCCATATTTTACGAATTGGCCAATTCGTATGAATTTGTACGAATGACCTACCCCTGACCCCGCCCCTAAACCTAACCATCACGTGGGTTTAGACAAATCGTACGAATTAGTACGAGTGAGGTCGTACGAATTAGCCACTTTTTAATCATGCGTCGAATTCGTACGAATTGGTCGTGAGATAGTGTTGACTATTCCCAAACAACCCGATCTCATGAGAAAATGTGGCCATTTTCTGAGTTGGTGATTTTGTTTGAATTCGAATAGTCAGTGGTTTTTACCATGTTTGGCTGATGATGTTTAATGTCCCCGACAACCTCCAAGGTCCCATTTCAGCACTTGACAGCCTTACTTGTCAGCCTTTATTTATTTAAAAAAATAAATAAATAAATAAAACTCAAGAAGAATAAAATGGGACTACAGATGTTGTCTGGGACATTAATTTACTAACAGCTTGTGCCTGTGCAAATTAAAAGACCACTATCAGGATTTACTAAAAGGCGTGGAAACAGTTATTTTTGCGTCTGACCATATTCCACGCATTCGTTGGAGTTTCCCTTTTAGACGGCAAATTTAGGAGATTAGGAGAGTATTTAAATGAATAAACAAATAATGCAATTCCTTAGTGATTTACTAAGGTTTGCGCTCATCAATTTACTGGTGTAAACAATAAAAACAAATCTCTGACAACAATGATAGTGTAGCTCAACGTTAGTGTAGCTCAAACAGTATTGAATTAAATCACGGGTGCAATTCAGGGAACGCTTGAATTGATAAAAGTAGGCTACAATCTCATGGCAATTTAAGTTTTGACGATTTTGTTTGAATTCATACAAATTAGACACTATCTCATTCGTTTGTTTTTTAGACTATGACAGGTATGTTTGAGGTTGGATCTTCATGCTTAGTTTTAATTCAAATAAAACAATTTTGAGAAATTCACATCTTAGAAATTAATATGAGATCACCACCTCAGAACATATTTATGCTTCCCCGTGAGATCAGGTTGGATAAACTTGAATATCAGTCCTTTGGATAAATATGTCTCCCGAATATGTAAGTTCAGAATCATTTCCAAATATTTTTAAGGCCATCTTTATTATTAGACTAGTAAAATTCAGACTGTTACAAATTTTATTTGGCTCAGTTTCCGATTATAAAATTGCTCAAAAAATTTTTATTTTTTAGGGCAATATGCCTTTTACACTCAAAAAAAATTATATGTTGGCTTTACTTAATTTTATTTTATTTTTATTTTTTTGTCAACAGGTTCCACATAACTGGATTGCGTTAAACAAACATAATTTGTTCATGTAACTTCAACATAATGGAATTGAGTAATTTTAATTTAACCAATTTAAGTAGTCTCAACGTGAATTTTTAAAGGCTTCCTGACATGATTCAAAGGCATTTTATTATATTCATTCATCCATTAAATTTCATTTGATTCAGTGACATTTAATTAAATTGATAGACTTTAGCTAGCTATTTATATTAGCATCTTGAATGCTAAGATTTACATGCTCCTTCGTCCAAAGCAACAGAAAATTATGAAATCAGTGACAAACAAAATGCTCCACTCTTCTCCACAATGGTAACCCACAGTAATTTAAATGGTTTAATAATTCCTATGTAATTTAACATTAAACACTATAACACACTATCTAGTCTTCCCCTTTTCTGAATTTCTCAAAAAAAAAACATAAAATAACACTTAATTTTAACTGGTTTTCTCTCTTAATTCAACCATATGCAAAGCATGCTGGGAACTAAAAGCACTGCCCAGTTTCAGTTAATGCAACACAAATCAATCATGTAATCCAACACAAACGGATGAAGTAAACTTAAGTTGTTCGTAGATTTAAGCAGATTGAACACAATCAAATTAAGTTCGGGCAAAATGGCAGTCGGCTCGCACCATACTGCCACCCTCTGGATGTACACATTTTTTTTACTTAACATAAATGGTTTGTGTTTAGACAACACATTAGGATTTTGTACTGTTAAGTTAAGCCACAATTACATAGACCTTAATAGAACACAATTATAATAAGTTATAAATTAAATTATAAATTATAACTATATATAAATATATTATGTAAAGTGCACAACCTTCCTAGTTCATTTTTTTGAGTGTAATCATGATTTTATCTTCAAGTATCTATTATCTTTAAAATCCTAATATTTCTCTCTTAAAGGGCGCAAGTACCAGTACCAGTTTATAAATGAAAGCAAGACATGGCAAGATGCTCAGAGTTACTGCAGAGCAAGATTCACTGATCTGGCCACTGCTGACAGCATGAGTGACGTGAGTTTGCTGGTGAATTCAGTGGATGCTGGATACAGGGGTTCAGTATGGATAGGTCTCCACAATGGAACAGAGTATCGCTGGGTCTGGTCTATGGGCTCACTATCCCAGTACAGTAACTGGTATCCAGGAGAACCAAATGGTGATGGGGAGTGTGTGATTAGTTTTAATGGACGCTGGTATGATGAGAGCTGCAGCACCGTTCTCCCATTTGTGTGTTTCAATGGTGAGTCCTCAAATCTGGTTCATTTTCCCCAATATTTTAGCTGATCCTGGACTAAGGGCTGGTCTTTATCTGGTGTTTCTGAACAGATAGCACTGGTTTCATCATCACTGAGACTGCTTTGACATGGAGAGATGCTCAGAGTTACTGCAGAAAACAACACACTGATTTGGCGAGTATCAGCAGCGCAGAGCAGCAGAATCTGATCGGTAATAATGCAGGATCGCTCTGGATCGGTCTGTTCAAGGACTCTTGGGAATGGTCTGATCGGTGGAATCTCAGTTTTAGAAACTGGGCAGCAGGACAACCATCCCAGAGTTCAGGATCCGGAGACTGTGTCGGCATGGCAACAACTGATACTGGGAAATGGGCTCAATACAGCTGTGATCTACAGCAACCTTTTATCTGCTATGGAGGTGAGTTTCCACAGTTCAAATGATTCAAACAACAGATTTATAGATCATTCTTCAAACAGACATTTACAAACAACTGTCATTGATAGGCTATATAGGGATCTAAAAATTCTCTCAACTCCCAACGCAATACTGGTTTCACGATGTGACTTAAGAAAAAGAGTCCTTTTATTTCTCAGACAAAATGCTGCAAATTTCTTTGTAAAATGGAAAAACATTTTATGCCAAATAATAACACAAAATTGACATTTTAAAACAAATCCCCAAAATTTCACATTGTTATAAAGGCAAGATTTTACTATTATTTCTTATAATTTGTATCATTACACGTGCAAGAGTTTAAAAAAAAAATTGTGTAGAAAAACACATTTAGAAAAATAAGCCACATTAATCAAATTATTTAAAAACAAAAATGTACACATTTGGAGAAAGAGATAGTAAATAAATACAAAACCTGACTATGCAATTCCATAGTTTTCTCATTTAGTCTGTGAAATATTTAATGCTGATCTTTCTCTTGATGAGGCAGAGCCTGGAATGTATTTATTACGGTTGAAAACAAACAGCCTCATAACGTTTGCCATGACAATACGATAGATAGTAAAAGAAATGGCCACGGCGACCCCATAGACTTCAACGGAGAAAAGTGAAGTCAATTAGAAGTACTCACTTCCTGATTGCCAAGCGCACTGTGCCGACTCAAACTGAGTTTGATGATGTAGATGTGACGTGAGCACGCAGATCTTCTGTGTTTATGACGACTAACCTTTAATTTCTCTAGATGACACGTTAATTAAAAAGCAGATCATCAGACTGAAATTGTCCTGTAATGGAGAATGCACATTGAATGATCCTTCACGTCAGACTGCCATTCTGAATCAGGTTCGTATCTGCCTTAAAAAGTTGTGTTCAGTTTCAGTGTCAAATGTTGGGTGCATAACAGTAGCCTACCATGACAGACACCCACTAAATCATATAGCATTGTGCATGTGAGTTTTGAGCAGGCAAGCAACTCCCATATCACATTATTGCTGTTATTAGGACTTATTATGATTATTATTTTGCTGGTCTTCTAGATCAGTGAAAAGCTGAAGATCATGGGGTTGGAAGGTGACAGCAAAATAAACTGGAGGAAAGGTGAAGGTGAAAATGTGTTTCATCAGGAGATCACTCGTACAGCGAGTTCCAGTAATAATAAAAAGTAATCTGTTATTTACATCTTTTTATCAAAATTCTTGATATATATAAGAATATAAAGGGGGTTTTATTTTAAGTCAAACTAGATTGCTCTAAGGAATTGTGAAGTAGTTGTACTAGAATTATCTATATTATTTAAACACCATGAAGTGTCATTTTATGTAAAATATACCATTTACTAAAGCTTCCATTTTCTAGTTTCTAGAGTATATGCAGAAATAAAGAGTGAAAGGATGATGATTTTTTTTCTCATAGTGAATCTGAAGAAATTTGATTGGCAGAAATCAATCTAAGCAGAAGTGCAAATGTTACAACTTACCCCATATGCGGGCGGGGTTTATTGGAACAGATAGAGGGGTGAGTTGTAACACTTGTGTGTAATTCAGTACTATTTTATTTGTATAGTTTGATATTGTTTGTGCATCAGTATAGATAGATATCCATGCATCCATCCCTCATCCAATCATCCCTCTATTATCAATATCATGGATAGAGAGATATAGAAAAGGGCTGCACAGGTTTGCAATAAATAATAATAAATAAAATCATAAAATATTGTAATTGCAATCGAATTAGATTTGTGTGTGGCAGCTGCATGTAAAATTATTATTAATAATAATAATAACAGTAATGATCATACAAAAGAGCTTAAAATGAACATTTAAAGGGTTTATTGCATTAAAATCAGGCCATATTTTTAATAAATAAACAAGTGATCAATGCATAGTAAACTAAATTTTAAACATTTTAAATTCCAACATTGTTTGTGAAAGTCCACAAAGTTAAATGTATAAATAAATACTCAAACCTGTAAAGTTGTGTGTCCCTGTTTTCATTTGATTATCATTGTACACTTGGCGGCTTAGTTGTAACACTGTGCTACAACTAACCCCGCTGTGTATTACATTTTTTAAAGGGATACTCCACTTTTTTTTTGGAAATAGGCTCATTTTACAACTCCCCCAAAGTTAAAAAGTCAAGTAGAAAAAAAAATGTACTGTGGAAGTCAATGAGACCAGAAACTGTCTGGTTACTGATATTCAGTAGCGGTTCTAGGCACGGGGGAACCGGGCAGTCGCCCGGGGCGGCATTTCCTCATGTCACATGGGGGGCGGCACGAGCAGTTAAAAAAAATACTCTGTGCCGCGAAGTTTTTCTATTTTTTATCATTTCGATTCAATTATTGGCAATGGCGCCCTGCTTGCTGAGAAGGTGCCGTGCGCAGAAGCGATGTCAAGGGAATCTCCTGATTAGTTCACGTATCGCGTCTTTTGCGCGCTCGAGGTCGTTATTTCAAATCCTCTATGATTCAAATAGGCGCACGGGAAGCGCGCTCATTATGCGCTCACGGGACGCGCGCTCATAAACTTTTCAGTATGGGAGTGCACGTGCACCCAAACACTTGGGTGTTTTTTCTGTTCTCCGTAAATACATCTTTTAGCAGAGCTACAGCAAGCGTTTTTCTGTGGTGGAAATACATTAACTCCTTTGTCGTTGTGGAGGAGAGCGCAGTGTAATGAGTGCATGGTTCTATAGCAACGACAGGCATGGGAAAATCGGTACGAATTTTACTATTAACAATAAAAGATAAGCTACTGTGCATTATAACTTTCAGGAATGTATCTTTATTGACTCATTCTTTTTATAGAGATGATTTAAATGCTGAAATATGAGGTTTATCTTTATATAAAACCTTTTTTGTGTGTTAACCTTTTTTTAAGTTTAGTAAGTAAGATGAAAGACACTCCTTTAAAACAAACCTTTAATATTATTAACTTGGTGAATTGATTTCACTGTGTATTAGGCATTTTGAACAAGATTCTGTGTGTGATCATTTTGGTCACCATAAAAAATCAGTCCTTCCAGAAAAACGCGGAGTTTTTTTGTGATTGTTGCGGGCAAAAATCCTTGATTACGCGGCCCGTTTTCTTTAAAAATGCGATGGAATATGCGGGATATTTATGCAATTTTATGCGATGAAATTGCGGGAACTTGCAAAAATTGCGGGAACTTGCAAAAATTGCGGGAACTTGCAAAAACTGCGGTTTGATGAAAAAGAGAAAAAAAGTGATTCCCCCAACACCCTGTTCTCACTAGGCTACTACCTTAATGTAAAGAGTCATTTCTTATTACTTTCTATGATGTAGCAAGCATACTACATCATAGAAAGTGCTGGGAATATTTAATTTCTCATCTTGTTTTATTTTTATTACATTTTCAAAATCACAGAGTTTGATATCAAGTTCTTGACATTTCTTTTACACATTTTCTGATAAGTATAACATCTGAGAAGTAGCCTAAAACATGAAACAATAATTTGGAAAAAAAAAAAGATAGAGGGCATCACAGACATATTAAATTCCTTTAGCAGAGATACAGATCTTTTGGGCTTTTCGATTTTTTTTTTTTAATTTTAAAGACTCAAAATACATTTTAAAGGCTGTTTTGAAATGAGCAAAGTTGGGTTTTGAGTTACTCCACTTAGTTTGATGAATATGAAATTTTCCTAATAATAGAAAAAAATCGATATTTTTCTTATAGGAAAGTCAAAATTATTTGTATGAAGATGACAAATTTAAGACAAGGTTGCAATTCATTTTAAAACCTAGAAATTGAGACATCTCATTCCAAAAGATTGAAAAATAGGGACATTCAAACAATAAGTGCACAATAGACTCTCTTTCACAATTACAAAATCAGCAATGTTTTATTTCAGACTGTAACGAGTGTAAATAAGGTGTGGCCCCTTTAAGAGCTGCGCGCTGAACTGTCTGCAGTGTGTGCCCCTCAAACACCCCATGTGTGCGGGTAATTTCTGTTTGATGCTTATTCTTTTATCTTATTTTGTTTATTAAGTAACAATGTGATGGTAGAACGTGTGACAGACAGTTATACGAGTTCGATTTGTGAGATGTCAATCGCCTCCGTGAGTCTTTCTGGCCTCTGCAATAACTTCAGCTGTGAGCTATCCCGTCGCGTAATTGCGTCACTTCATAACGTTCCCATGGAAACAGGAGGAAATGGCTGCTCTTGTATGAAGCAAACGCAACATTTTTCAACTTTCTGCGAAGATATATGTGACTTTTTTTTGCAACGAAAATGCGAGGATTATGAAATCATGCAAGCCCCGCATATTTTGCATGGAAATCGGCATTTTATGCGGCGAAAGTGCGGCTTAATCAAAAAAATGCGGCCCCCGCATAAATATGCGGACTTTGGCTGATTTTGCATTGAATTCAGCGATCGCATAATCGCGTTTTTCTGGAGGGACTGAAAAGTGGAGTATCCCTTTAAGCCTAGCTAACAGTCGCTAGGAATTGCTGACATGTTTCAAAACGGTGTTTGAGCCAACAAGACAGTGATTAAGACAATATAAAGTTCAGCCCATTCTCACCCCCAAGGCGTCACTTAACTGACACATTGGGAAGCATTTGGACATGCTTCAATATCTGACGCTTTAGGCGCCCTTTAGCGTCAGTTAGATGACGCCCTAGGATCGCGTGTACCCTACCCCCACCCCACAACTAAACCTAACCGCGTCCTCTAACTGACGCTTTCCTTTAGCGTCAGTTAGATGACGCCGTAGGATCGCGTCATGTAAGTGACGCTAAAGGGCGCCTAAAACGTCAAATATTGAAGCATGGTCAAAGGTGACGCCTTGGGGTGAGAATGCGTTGCAAAGTTAGATTTGGAAACGTATACACCCAACTCAGAAACTGAAAAAATGTACTTGCATGGTGTCAAAACTCTTTGTCCAGTATCTTCACGAAATATGATCCAAATAGAGAAAAAGAGCGGAAAGACAACCTGCTTGATCCTGACTAACTATGTAAAAGGTCCGTCTCACATTTAACCCCGCGTTATGTTGTGCCCCGCGCTCCCCTATACAACGAACTGGCAAAACATGAGGGCAAGAAAACACACATATATATGGAGCTGAGAGCAAGAGGAACAGGTTAGCACACTCAGACAACGAACAAGTGAACACACTCAGGCAAACAAGGACACAACTAGTATAGACAAGAGTGTGTGGTACTGGGAAACAAGGAGGCAGGAACAGAGAAGCACATGACCAACACAAACAAAGACAGAGCCATATGTTCAAGCACAACACAAACAGAAACATGAAACAAAGATAACACAGACTGTCAGGGCAGAATCCTGCCAGCAGTGATGTGATAGAATGTGCCAGAAGATCTTCAAGTGAAATGAGCTATTTGAATATTAAAATCACGCTTTGCTTGGCATCACTTTCAAATGTAATTTAATCCTTATGCTGCAGTATGCTAAAATATCCTCAAATAATTATTTATCCTTCATTTATTACTGCATATAAGTAAAAGCATTTAGTGTAGGGATGCTCTGATTAAATTTTCCAACATTTTGGAAAAAGTGGGAATGCAACATTAGAGTGTGATGATGCTAAGCCAAAAAAAGATGATATAAGTTGTGATTCAATCAGCGGGTGAGGGTTCTTTATGAATTTAACATTTGCACATTTCAACTTTGTCTCCACACTTTGATACCAAGTGATTTATTTCCATTTTTACCTCACCCAGGCTACATGTTTTGATTCATTTTGATGTCTAAGTATCGTAAAGACATAATGCATCTGTCACATAAACTGTGACTGAAGTGAAGCGCACGACAAAAACGATTCCAACAAAATAGTCATTTTAATAAATCCAAAAAGAATACAGGAGATCGTAGTGGAAAAATAAATAAACAATAATAATTTAACATTCCCGATACCGGACAAGGAACACATAAACCAGGAGGAAACTAATCAAGATCAGGTGAACATAACGACTAATTAATGAGTGACATACTGGGAAATCAGGCAGGCAAACAGGAACATAACCAACAGAAACTCAACAAAGGAGAACATGATCATGACAACATCCAAAATGTTTTTCATTGAAAAATAGTATTTGAATTTGGAAAGTACTTGTCATCACAAAAATTAGCCTGTCATTTAAATGCATTTGACCTCCTTATGGGCAAATCCAATCAAGTAAATATTCACTAATTAGTTTAGAAATCGTGTTACGGACTACAGGAAAAAATAAAAATAAAACTAGCTTCTACCCAGACTGTTCCATATAGGCTAAACTCAAGTATGGATGGTTTACTAATTATTAAAATTGCAAGTATGGCTGGTATACTAAAAAAACAAATTTACTTCATTGTTGAGTATCTATTGACCAGTTGTCAAGCTCCAAAAAGAGGTGAAAATAAAAAACAATAAAAACACCAAGACAAGTTGCTTATTTTGTGCTTGTTTTATTAAACTAGATTACTTCTTTTTCTGCCGAGATCTGGCAACGGGTTTAATATTAAAGCTACACTGTGTAACTCTTTTAGTTTATTTTTAGCTAAAAACACTTAGTTCTTTCAAAAATATATGTGCTCATTAATGTATATTTACTTCGTCCAAGTAATAAAGTATTCTCGTGAGTGTATAATATGCCATTGAAAATACATACGGGTAAGAGGTTCCCTCCATCTTGAAAGTACGTTAGCCAAAGAGGGACATACCCGTTAATTCAAGCTTCGCCTTTCGCGTTTACGTTTGAGTTAAAACTCATGGACGAGGTCGAACTGGAAGCCATGTTAATCTTGGACTATATTGGCCACCGTAGTTAAAACGAAATCGGAATTGAGAGGAACAGAAACGAATATTCACTGAATGATCATATACCTTTTCACCACTAGATGGGGGTAAAAATCACATAGTGTAGCTTTAATATTTGTTGTTGATTTGAAGGAAGGGAGAGAGTTTAATGTATGACTCAAATGAAATGGACACAATCAATATATAATGGACATGTATACGGTGAGTGTGTTTTAGCTTTAGATTTTGTTTATTAGAATACTGCATTTTGATTTATTGTTTCCTTTTGTTTTTGTTTTGTTTACTTGCGTGGAGTTTTTTTTACAACAAATCTGTTGCAATGTGGACATTTCTTTAATGAAAATTAGCTACAGTATTTGAATATGAAAATGACTTATCTTGTCATCACATAAGAACAGCATAGCAGTGAGTGTGTCAGACTGCGAATCCTGAGACTATTCTGTGAATGAGGGCTAGAGTTTTCTGTAGCTGATTCTGTGCTGTCTTAATGCAGTGTAATGTTTAATTAAGGAAATGTGAAGTCCATTCACACTGAATTTCTAGACATTTACTGTGACAGAAAATGTGCATTTGATAATCTCTTATTAGAATCCGCACACATTTGATCTGATACTAATCAGATATCAACAGGATCTGTGTGTTCAGTCATGGACGGGAGTCTGTTTTTGCTGCTCCTGCTGTCAGGTTGGTGTTATATTTGTAAGATGTTTTACAAGGACAAGTGAATGTGCAATATGTATTTTTAAAAAAATCACTTTTGCAGGGCTCTTGAGGACTACTTCTGGTGTTTCTCGTCAGTATCACTATATAAATGTGAGAATGTCGTGGCCAGAGGCTCAGAGTTACTGCAGAGAGAAGTACACTGACCTGGCTACTGTAGACACCATGGATGATGTGAACCGGCTGGTGAATATAGTGGATGCTGGATACAGTGGATCAGTGTGGATTGGACTGAAGAGAGGGACACAGACACGCTGGGTTTGGTCTAATGGAGAAAACACACTCACACAGTACAGTGCTTGGTATGCTGGAGAACCAAAGAATGAAAACAAATGTGGCTTTATAGCTAATGGAGTTTGGAAAAGTTACTCATGCTCAAATCAGTTTTTCTTTATGTGCTACAGTGGTGAGTTATACTGTAAGTTTTTTTTTTATACAGTGAGTTTGTAACTTAACAAATGTTCAGTTTAGCTGAGAAAAATAGTTGGGAGTGGGACCTTATTCTTATTTTGATTTTTTTTTTTTCTGATAGGAAGCGCTGGATATGTTAGGGTAGAGATGTGGAAGAACTGGATGGATGCTCAGAGCTACTGCAGACAGTATTACACGGATCTGCCCACTATCGACAACTCTGAGAAACTAAACCAGATAAAGAGTATTATTCCATCAGTATCGTGGGTCTGGATTGGTCTGTTCCAGGACTCTTGGGAATGGTCTGATAAATGGAGCCGCTTCTTTAGAAACTGGGCAGCAGGACAACCATCCCAGACTTCAGGATCTGGAGACTGTGTCGGCATGTCGACAACCAATTCTGGGAAATGGGCTCATGAAAGCTGTGATCTAAAGCGTTCTTTTATCTGCCATGGAGGTGAGTTTTCATTTTTTGGACAAATCTGATCATAATAGATAGAATGATTTTTGAACTGTTCAAAAATTGTTCAACCTGACAATGCAAGAGACTGTATTTGCATGCATTTTTCCCGGTATGTTGTTTCCAAGCAGTAGAGTTTGGATAATGGGCAAAAATATGTAAGGTTTTGCTTAACCCTTTACCTGTCACCCCCCTTTTTGATAATTGATATTAAAATGCACTATACAAACTTAAATGGTTGTAATTCAAGAATGCTTTGGAATATAGACCTAAGTTTGGTCCCTTTTTTTAAAGAAAACAATCAGCAGATTATTACTGAAGTGAACGCACTTCAAAAAATTAAAGTATGAAAACGTTATGGAAGTTATAGCTAATTTACAGTAGGGCTGGGTAATAAATATCGATTTCTCGATATTAATCGATTCTCCTTTTTACGAACCGATATCGATTCTTAAATATCAAGAATCTATTAGTCATCCTGTTTTATTTGAATGAATGGGACATTGTCTCGCGGCTGCGCGCATCCAAAAAAATCGCAATAATCTTTGTCCTTCGTTCGTTACTCTTGATATGAAACAAAGTCTCAGTTTTCAAATTACGTCCATTTTCTTTAGAAATTCAAAAACATAAATAACGTTGTGGCGCTGTGGCGTGAGATCGCTCTGGTCTGATCGCTCTGATCTCTCTTCCGGCTTAATAATACCAGTTACAGCGCCAAATAAACATGAATGAGCTTCTGAAAGTGTGTTAAAGATAGAGTACAACTTATCGAAATCCGTATCATGTCACATTGATTCGCTCAATCAGCGTTTCAACCATGGAAAGACCTCAGTTAAACAGTTTGTAATCAATGTCATGTATCGTCATATTTACCTTAGAAAACCCACATAAACTCGTTAGTCAGCCAGAAAAAAATAACTCCAGAGAGGAGCATTTTGCTAAATATATACAACATAGTACATATGCATTATAATCTTAATGTTTTTCAATATTTAATGCATATTTGAATAAGTTTTTATGACAGCCACCATTTAAATGTTTATATTTCATATAATCTTCTTATTATAAAAATAAATAAAAGGGTAATTTAATTGTTTGTATAGCTACAAAACAGTTCATTATTACCTTCATATTAGGCTAATGAAGCCTATAGGCTACAACTAGACTCCCATAGTTTACAGCATTAGTTAGGCTAAGAGATTTGATTCCCATGAGAAAATTTGCCATTTATTGTAACTGATATCCAAAATAATCAATATTGAATCGAATCGAATTGCAAGCTTGTGAATCGAAATCGAATCGAATTGTGAAATTTGTCTCAATACCCAGCCCTATAATTTACAGTAAACCAAATATACTTTATTAATACTTTTTATATAAAATAAATATTTTACAAAATATGTTTTACTATAAAATTACTATAAAATGAAAGCTATATATCTAACCAAGTTGTGTTCCAAATTTAAAGTTGATATCACAAAAATTGAAGTTCCCATGAGATTTTGTTTAGGCGTTATACCAAAAATAGCCACCGGGTGCCATTGAATTCCATTGAATTTAATTGTGTGCAATCTGCCATAACAACTTAAAGAGCACCTATCATGGATTTTTGAAAATGACTGTTCATGTGGTGTGGAATATAGTATATTTGGAAGTCAATGAGACCAGAAACTGTCTGGTTAGTGATATTCTTCTAATAATAATATCAGAATATCGTCTGAATGGATTTGAAAACGGTGAAACTCGACTGTTTATCTCTAGGGGAGTTGTAAAATGAGCCTATTTTCAAAAAAAAGTGGAGTTTCCCTTTAATGACAGTTGTCATAAACGTGCATAAATCTTACTTCACATTCAAGACATTTGTCATGTCATGGTTATGAAGGTGTCATGTTAGTCTTATGCACATCCCTTCAAGTAAAGAGTTACCGTTTAAACAGTCAATGACCTTTTCCCCCAAAAAATAATATTTATAACAGTTTGGATGACCTTGGGACGGGTTATTAATTATAATTGTTTAAGATTGTGGACTCACTCACACTTCTGCATGTGTACAGTTTACTAAAGTAAGGTTTTTTTTTATCGAAGATGGTTTATTGCATTTCTGTGTCACATTCTTTTTTATTTTAAATAATTAATATAATATACAAATCATATAACTTGAATCTCTGCATCAGAAATAATAGTAGGCTATGTGTTAGTACAATCACTAAATTATTTTATACATTTACCACTGTTACTTTCCTGATTATTATAAAGGTGTATAGGGAATAAAATGAACTGGTGGGTCTGACTTCCATGTGACTGAAACCAACTGCTAAAGGCAAATTTTTTTTTTTGGTTTTTTTTTTCAATATTAATACAAAATGGGAAAAAACTACTGTACACCAGTCACAGTAATTATTTCCAACCAAGAATAAAGAAAACCAAGATGGGGAAAAATCTTCAGTATCCAAACATACCCTAAACTATAATTAAAAAAAAAAAAAAAAGATTTTTACAGTCATGTTCCTCATTTCCATTTGCTAAAGGGCCCAAGTCTCCTTACCGCTCCTTCATCTATGTGAATGAACGCAAGACATGGCAAGATGCTCAGAGTTACTGCAGAGCGAGATTCACTGATCTGGCCACTGCTGACAACATGAGTGACGTGAGTTTGCTGGTGAATTCAGTGGATGCTGGATACAGGGGTTCAGTATGGATAGGTCTCCACAATGGAACAGAGTATCGCTGGGTCTGGTCTATGGGCTCACTATCCCAGTATAGTAACTGGTATCCAGGAGAACCAAATGGCGATGGGGAGTGTGTGATTAGTTTAAATGGACGCTGGTATGATGAGAGCTGCAGTGCCGTTCTCCCATTTGTGTGTTTCAATGGTGAGTCCTCAAATCTGGTTCATTTTTCCCCAATATTTTATCTGATCCTGGACTAAGGGCTGGTCTTTATCTGGTGTTTCTGAACAGATAGCACTGGTTTCATCATCACCGAGACTGCTTTGACATGGAGAGACGCTCAGAGTTACTGCAGAAAACAACACACTGATTTGGCGAGTATCAGCAGCGCAGAGCAGCAGAATCTGATCGGTAATGCAGGATCGCTCTGGATCGGTCTGTTCAAGGACTCTTGGGAATGGTCTGATCGGTGGAATCTCAGTTTTAGAAACTGGGCAGCAGGACAACCATCCCAGAGTTCAGGATCCGGAGACTGTGTCGGCATGGCAACAACTGATACTGGGAAATGGGCTCGATACAGCTGTGATCTACAGCAACCTTTTATCTGCTATGGAGGTGAGTTTCCACAGTTCAAATTATTCAAACAACAGATTTATAGATCATTCTTCAAACAGACATTTACAAACAACTGTCATATCTTTTTATTTATTGATCTATCCTCTGTGTTGATGATGACTAACTTTTAATTTCTCTAGATGACACGTTAATTAAAAAGCAGATCGTCAGACTGAAATTATCCTGTAATGGAAAATGCACATTGAACGATCCCTCACTACAGACTGCCATTCTGAATCAGGTTTGTATCTGCCTTAAAAACTGTGTTCAGTTTCAGTGTCACATTCTGAATGCGTAACAATACCATGACAGACGCCCACTAAATCATATAGCATTGTGCTTCAGAGTTTTGAGCAGGCAAGCAACTCTCTTTTGACTTTTTTTTCTTTTTTTCTTCTCTAGATCAGTGAAAAGCTGAAGAACATGGGACTGGAGAGTGACAGCAAAATAAGCTGGAGAAAAGGGGAAGGTGAAGAGGTGTTTCATCAGGAGATCAACCGTAAAGCGAGTTCCAATGATAAATGTAATAAGTAATCTTTTAAAACTTTGAAGAATATAAGACTATAAGAATTTTTTAGTAAAAGTAGATTGATAAAAGGAATTGTAAAAGTAGTCTAGTAAAATTATATATATATATATATTAATTAAACGCTATGAAGTGTCATTTTATATAATATATTTTCCATTTACTATAGTTTTTCTTTTTTTTAATCAAAAATCATCATTAAAATTATACAGAATTTTATATAGGTTCTACTATGCAGAAATAAGGGGTATAAGTATGATGATATCTTTCTAGTAATGAATCTGAAGGAAATCTGATTGGCAGAAATCAACCTGAGCATTAGTTGTTTCCATATATGCATTAATATATTTTTTTGTACTTTCATTTTGAAATTGATGAGAGATTTAAGTAAATGTAATATGCTATATGTGTTAAAAATAAAATTAACTTTTTAAAACTGAAGATTATAAACTCATCTATTGTTCTAACACAGTCTCACACAGTCTCATCCCAAGTCTTTTGACCATACGTCAACATCCGCCTTTTTAGAGTACCCTAAACGTCAGCTAGTTGACGATCCCGGGCCGTCATACAACTGACGCTTTACCTTTAACGTCAGTTAGGTTTAGGGGTAGGTTTAGGTCTGGGGTAGAGTTAGGATCCGATGACGTCATCTAACCGACGTTTAAGGGTACCCTAAAAAGGCGGATGTTGACGTATGGTCACAAGACGTCCCAAGACGTCAGTTATACAAGGCTTGTTTGAGATGAGCAAATTCTGCGCAGAATCGATCACCGGTGATCAGCGCGAGATGCATGCCGGTTAGAAATGTGTCCGAGAACGGTCCGCCTGGCTCTGATGTCATGCCGACGTATGTCAAAAAACTCTCGCGAGCGCAAGGCGGAAGGGTCGGATTCTGCAGTCGCGCGCAGTTGCTCTCCACCGACTGCGCTGATCAAAAGCATGATGGGAAACGACTTGCTGACGACACAGCTTAATGCTCATTGGTTTAAACAACAGTGATGAAGGTAAATTCCATATTCATTAAGCTAAATTCTCCAAATCAAGGCCATGTTTTATTTATTTATTTATTTTTTCAAATTGAAACTGATAGGCTATTGTGAATCTCTTAAACGGGTTAAAAATAAGAAAGCTATAGTCAGTAACTCAAATATACTAGGCCTACTCTAAAATGTTCAAGTGAAAAATAGCTCTCATTTTATAGATGATGAAGTTTGTAAGTCTGTCTATTTAAGCTAAGCTTATTTTGATTTATTTATTTAGGCTATTTTATTATTAATTTTATTCTGATGTTTATTTATTTGTCGCTGTATAATAGGCCTATTTGTTTCACGAATTGTGGTGCTTGTAGGTAGGCTATGTTTGTAACTTGCATTCTAATAAAAAGGTAAAATAAATAAAAATAAAAATAAAAGAACAACAGATGAATTGTTCTCTTTTAAAATGTTTGATTTTAAAACTGATATCATGTTTTATGTGTATACATATGGGTGAATAAACTCTCTGACAGTGCCATATGGGTTATATTTCATTTTTGTTAAAACAATAGGCTATATAAAAACACGTCTGTATTAAAGAAAAAAAAAAGATTGATAAACACATATTTGGAATGTAATTAAATAACAAGTAGGCTACTTTGGGTGTCTTGTTCATTATATTTATTTTTATATAAAAGCAACAGTTTATTAGCAACACGTGCACGAGCGTGAATCCCGTTAATCCCGCGATATCCGCCTTTGATCTCACAGATGTCTGATTCACTGCGAGAACCGAGATCTGTCCGGCTTTATTGCGCTTTTTTCACTCCTCCCCTCACTGCAGCCGCCTACTCTCGACTACATTGCAGGCGAGGCGAGGCGCATCTCAAACAAGCCTATAGTCTCAGCCTCAGACGTCACGCCCACGGAACGTTGGCTAAACGTCTGATGCATATGGTACACTTAACTGGAAACACTTCAGGAATGTCGAAGTCGTCATCTGATTGGTTGAATTTTATCGGATTTCCGGGGGGCGTCAGTGTCGCGTTTATTTTCGGTCCGCCGGGAAACAAAGCGCAGATGTGTGATTGCGGAAGAAAAACTTATATGAGTGGCCTATGTGAGTGACAATGAGCATTTCTCAAGATCAGCTAAACGTAGTTGTATGTCCCCTCCAATCTATTATGGAAGATCAAGTGAAGTACTTAATTGCGAAGGGTATTCAGCTGCGTTTGTGGACAAACATGAAACAGACGCTGACATCGCAGCTGGCCAATTCAGTATTCATATATATGTCGCGCACACTGGATTATAAGGCACATAAGATACTGCAGAGTCAAACGTTTGACTGGGTTTGCGTTATGCATCCACTAGATGTGCTAAAGGCTAAAGGGAATGTAGCGAGTGCGCGGTGCCGGAGGTGAGGCGTTTATTTAGTAGGCGTGAGCGCACTGGGGCGGGGACGTAACTTACATTCGTGTGACAAAGCGGACATAAGATGGACATGAGCGAGTTCGTGGGTGAATTTAATAACACGGAGCGTTGTTAGCGCCTCCGGTGACTGCTGACTGACTTGTTGCACACCGGTCTGTTGTTGTGGGGACATTTCCACGCCCCGAAACATGACGCTGAACGAAACGAACTGTAATTGGTTGTTTGACATGTCGGTCTAACGGCCTTATGGGCGGGCCTTGACCAAAGAAAGCTGCTATGAATTCCAGACCTTCAGCCGTCAGTCTGAAGGTCTGGCTACGCGAGACTATCAGTTATATGACGTCTTGGGATGAGACTGCGCTGATTGTTCTCTCTCTCTCTGTATTCTGAAATAACATGAACAATACAGTAGATAAAGATATGCTATATGTGTTAAAAATAAAATGTACTTGTAAAACTAAAGATTTGGAATCCGACTTTTATTGTTTAATTAGCACTGGAACTCTTGCATGGAAATCTCACTCTCTCTCTCTCTCTCTCTTTGTCTCTTGCATTCTTAAATAAAGATAAAATAAATAATAGATAATAATATTAATTCTCACGTTCATGTCTTGCATTTGAGATAATTGTGAAAATGACTTTAATATGCACACAGCCTACACTGTGATTTATGTTTTTTGTTTATTTGTCATTAATGTTATTCTTAGTCCATTTAAACAATATTTGGTAACGCTTTAGAATACGGTACTTTCGTTAATGAATAACTACACAAGAACTAATGAGTAACACAATATTAACAATCTAGTAACTATTATTAATTAACAAGAAACTCTGATTAACGAACTAGTAGCGCACAGACGAAAGTGGTAGTTCACTATTAAGTACTATTTTTTTAATACTTCCCAGAGAACTACTGAAAAAGTTTATTAACAATCTATTAGTCTCAGCCTCAGACGTCACGCCCACGGAACGTTGGCTAAACGTCTGATGCATATGGTACACTTAACTGGAAACACTTCAGGAATGTCGAAGTCGTCATCTGATTGGTTGAATTTTATCGGATTTCCGGGGGGCGTCAGTGTCGCGTTTATTTTCGGTCCGCCGGGAAACAAAGCGCAGATGTGTGATTGCGGAAGAAAAACTTATATGAGTGGCCTATGTGAGTGACAATGAGCATTTCTCAAGATCAGCTAAACGTAGTTGTATGTCCCCTCCAATCTATTATGGAAGATCAAGTGAAGTACTTAATTGCGAAGGGTATTCAGCTGCGTTTGTGGACAAACATGAAACAGACGCTGACATCGCAGCTGGCCAATTCAGTATTCATATATATGTCGCGCACACTGGATTATAAGGCACATAAGATACTGCAGAGTCAAACGTTTGACTGGGTTTGCGTTATGCATCCACTAGATGTGCTAAAGGCTAAAGGGAATGTAGCGAGTGCGCGGTGCCGGAGGTGAGGCGTTTATTTAGTAGGCGTGAGCGCACTGGGGCGGGGACGTAACTTACATTCGTGTGACAAAGCGGACATAAGATGGACATGAGCGAGTTCGTGGGTGAATTTAATAACACGGAGCGTTGTTAGCGCCTCCGGTGACTGCTGACTGACTTGTTGCACACCGGTCTGTTGTTGTCAGGGTTGCCAGGTCCCAGAAATATTTCAAGCCCAATGACAACTCAAAACCCGCCCAAATGGAATGAAAACTAGCCCAATTTTTATATATATATATATATATATATATATATATATATATATATATATATATATATATATATATATATATATATATTATGTATTACATATAAAACATATAAAAATTATGTAAATATATATATATATATATATATCTACATATAAATATATGTGTGTATATATATGTATATATTTTCCCTCTATATACAGGTGAAACTTGAAAAATTTGAATATCATGAAAAGTTTCACCTTTTAATTTGAATTACTGAAATACATGAACTTTTGCAAGATATTCTAATTTTTCGAGTTTCACCTGTTTAAATAAAACTTAACCTGGTTATTTGAAGAAAAAAAAATATATATATAGATAGATAGATAGATAGATAGATAGATAGATAGATAGATAGATAGATAGATAGATAGATAGATAGATAGATAGATAGATAGATACATAGATAGATAGATACATAGATATGTGTGTGTGTTAAGTTTAAAGTTGACCTTTTGTCTCACCCAAAATCTTAATATCACACACTGAAACACAATCTCATACAATAAAGGTCAAGAACTTGTCCTCTCTGATATTTTCTGACCCTAGTAGTCACTAAATGATCAACAGTTGAAGTGCTTGAGTGACAAGCAACGTGGGCAGCCAGCTTCCTCTTTCACAGCAACATTAGTTCTTAGAAAGCAACTTTGCCTGTGTCAAATAATTGTTTTTTTTTTTAATGTTATTCACTCACAGCATAAGCTACTAGATCACTGTGGTGAACTCTGATTTCACATTTGCAATATTTGCAGAACGTTTTTCTATCATCATTTGGAACACTTCGAAGGTGATGTGATGATGCTAGATTTGTGATGTTACGTCAAAAACACATGAGACGCGTCCACTCGCCCGCACATAGCGCCCATCTATGATAGCGCCCGCCACAGTCAGTGGTTGTTGCCAAATATTCATTCCCGGGGATCAACAATACCCACTAATAAACGGTTCCCTTTTAATTTTTTCTTTGTCTACAATTTAATTATTATTATTTTTGTGGCCGCAATACATAATAAATATAGCCCAAAAAAACGCAACCCGCAACTCCATAATTTTTCCCGCAACTCTTTTTTTAAAATAGCCCAATTGTGCGGGAAAACCGCCACCCTGGCAACATTGGTTGTTGTGGGGACATTTCCACGCCCCGAAACATGACGCTGAACGAAACGAACTGTAATTGGTTGTTTGACATGTCGGTCTAACGGCCTTATGGGCGGGCCTTGACCAAAGAAAGCTGCTATGAATTCCAGACCTTCAGCCGTCAGTCTGAAGGTCTGGCTACGCGAGACTAACAATCTATTAACTAAAAGAAACTCTTATTAACGAATTAGTAAGTAATAGCTCACAGATGAAAGTGTTACTAGATACTTCTGTGGGAATTACTAATTATTTGGATTCGTATTATAAAGTGAAGATCATTGGAACTAACTAGTAATGACTCAAGTGTTACATGATCTAGTCATGATTTGTGCAAACGTTTGAGATTTTTGGTGAACTTTAGTATACTTTTAGAAAATGTCTTTAGTAACACTTGAGTAATTACTAGTTAGTTTCAATGATCTTCACTTTATAATACGAATCCAAATAATTAGTAATTCCCACAGAAGTATCTAGTAACACTTTCATCTGTGAGCTACTAATTCGTTAATAAGAATTTCTTTTAGTTAGCCTAATAGTAGTTACTAGATTGTTAATAAACGTTTTCAGTAGTTCTCTGGGAAGTATTAAAAAAAATAGTAGTTATTGATTACTCAATAGTGAACTACCACTTTCGTCTGTGCGCTATTACTTACTAGTTGGTTAATCAGAGTTTCTTAGTTAATAATATTTACTAGATTGTAAATATTGTGTTACTCATTAGTTGTTGTGTAGTTATTCATTAACGAAGGAACCGTATTCTAAAGTGGTACCCAATATTTCAGTCATTTTAATTCTAAGTTTTTGAAATCGGATATACTCAGGTAAACTGGGTTAGAGTGTACCAACAACAGCACTCTGGTCGGGTGTTATTCATCCTTTCACCACCAGATGACGACAAATTACACCGGTTTGAGAAGCGCAGAGAAATAGCCATTTTAAAGCATCATGTTGCTCCCAAGCACTGAACATGTCTCCCTAATCAATCAGAACACCTGATTCAGTCCACAAGTTTGAATGGCCATATTGTATAATATACACTATTCATTGAAATTGACTATGACATTATTTTTCTTAATGTTGATCTTTGTCAATAGCCCTGATTGCTGATAATTTACTCACCCCCATGTCATCCAATGTCATTCTTTCTTCAGTCGAAAAGAAATTAAGGTTTTTGATGAAAACATTCCAGCATTTTTCTACATATAATGGACTTCAATGGGAACCAAACGGTTCAAGGTCCAAAAGACACTTTCATTGCAAACTGCAAACTGTTCAAAGGGCATTAAACGATTCCAGACGATGAATAAGGGTCTTATCAAGCGAAACAATCACTCATTAAAAAAAAAACAAAGTTTAAGTTTTTTAAGCTCAAATGCTTGCCTTGCTCTGTTCTGCGATGCACATTCGTGACTCTCCTGTTCGAACTCGATCATCAAATTGAACGAATCTTTTTCCGAGTCAATTAGTTCGTTTCGTTCATTGAATGAACCAAATGACTGGGAAAAAGATTTGTTCATTTTGATGAACGAGTTCAAACAGGAGAGTCACGAACGCGCATCACAGTACAGATCAAGGCGACCATTTCAGCTTATAAAACTTAAACTTTTTTATCTATTTTTGAAATGACAGATCGTTTCGCTTGATAAGACCCTTATTCATCATGTGGTCTCATTTAAAGCCCTTTGAAGCTGCACTGAAACTGTCTTTTGGACATTGCACCGTTTGGTTCCCATTGAAGTCCATTATATGGAGAAAATCCTGGAATATTTTCATCAAAAACCTTAATTTCTTTTCGAGTGAAGAAAGAAAGACATGGACATCTTGAATGACATGGGGGTGAGTAAATTATCAGCAAAAGTTTTTTTTTAAAGTGAACTACTCCTTTAAGCCGTGTGCACACTGACTCCTCCAGAGTTTTACGTCATCAATCAGTAAAACATTCGGTGATATTGAGCTGCATTACATAGGGGATTGAATGGTGGCTAGTAAAAAGAAATCTCTAATGTTAATTTTGGTCATGGCTTGTCATTAAAAACGAAGAAAATTTGACGGTCGTCGTGGGAGAAGTCAACACTGCTGGACTGTGAGTCAATCTGACACTGCCAGAATTTCATCAGAACGGTAATTATTCGGCTGTTGGTGAACATGTCAAACTAATGAACAAAGACTTCAGATTTTGGCCTAGGATCTGAGGAATAATTTAGGATTAGCAAAAGTTGTTTCAGAACACTCATCTTTAGAGATATACTTGGTTTTATGTGCTAATAAAGTTTAAAAGCATGCTTAATTGTGCTTCTTTTTAGGCTTGCAGTCTATGGAGATAAAGGTAACCTTCCAGTTAGCAGCTCCAAGCTTGCAAAGCCTAAACTGTCAGTGTTTAATTAAGAAAACTTGTAATCTGCCTCTCAAAGCGTGTGTACAGTACATATCCAGTGTTCTGTGTGTATTCACCACCACCCTTATCAATGACTTGTTTAATCATCTTTCAGTTCCTCTTATTTTCCTGGAACAGCAGCACACACATCCAGCAGAGAGGATCAGTGTGTTCAGTCATGGACAGGAGTGTGTTTGTGCTGCTGCTGCTGTCAGGTTGGTGCGATCATCTGTAATCTGTATTTCTGATGATGATTACATATATAGATGGTTTATCATGTTGATTTTAACAGGACTCTTCTGGAGCAGTTCTGCTCTTTCTCGTCAGTATCACTATATAAATGTGAGAATGTCGTGGCCAGAGGCTCAGAGTTACTGCAGAGAGAAGTACACTGACCTGGCTACTGTAGACACCATGGATGATGTGAACCGGCTGGTGAATATAGTGGATGCTGGATACAGTGGATCAGTGTGGATTGGACTGAAGAGAGGGACACAGAAACGCTGGGCTTGGTCTAATGGAGAAAACACACTCACACAGTACAGTGCTTGGTATGCTGGAGAACCAAAGAATGAAAACAAATGTGGCTTTATAGCTAATGGAGTTTGGAAAAGTTACTCATGCTCAGCTCAGTTTTTCTTTATGTGCTACAGTGGTGAGTTTTGAGTTGTTAACTGTGTAAATTTGCCATTTATCTTGGGTTGAGGATGATTCTTCTTTTCCATTCTTTAATAGAAAGTGAATATATCAGGGTACAGACTTCTAAGAACTGGACCGATGCTCAGAGCTACTGCAGACAGCGTCACACAGATCTGCCCACTATCGACAACTCTGAGGAACAGAATAAGATAAAGAGTATTATTCCATCGGGATCGTCGGTCTGGATTGGTCTGTTCCAGGACTCTTGGGAATGGTCTGATAAATGGAGCCGCTTCTTTAGAAACTGGGCAGCAGGACAACCATCCCAGACTTCAGGATCTGGAGACTGTGTCGGCATGTCGACAACTGATACTGGGAAATGGGCTCATGAAAACTGTGATCTACAGCGTCCTTTTATCTGCCATGGAGGTGAGTTAACAGAATCAAAGTGTTAAAATATCACTCTTGAAACAGATTTTACAAACAACTTAAACATCTTCTGTATAGAGGATGACTTTAACGCCTTCTTTAATTTAACTTTTATTTCTCTAGAGGGCGAGATCATCAAAAAGCAGATCGTCAGACTGAAATTGTCCTGTAATGGAGAATGCACGTTGAATGATCCTTCACGTCAGACTGCCATTCTGAATGAGGTTTGTCTCTGCCTTAAAAATGTTCAGTTTCCAATTCAGGTGCAACAATACAATTTACAGGGTATATGTACTGGATTAAATGGTGTTCAGAAACAAGAATTTGTTACAATAGCTACATTACCTAACATCCAACCTTCATTGTTGTTGTTGTAGTTGTTTAGAGTTAAAGGGACACTCCACTTTTTTTTGGAAATAGGCTCATTTTACAACTCCCCCGGAGTTAAACAGTTGGGTTTTACCGTTTTCAAATCCATTCAGCTGATTTTCTGATATTTAGAAGAATATCAGTAACCCAACAATGTATGGTCTCATTGACTACCATAGTATATTTTTTTCCTACTATGGAAGTCAATGAGATCAGAAACTGTCTGGTTACTGATATTTTTCTAAATATCAGAAAATGGTCTGAATGGATTTGAAAACAGTGAAACTCGACTGTTTATCTCTGGGGGAGTTGTAAAATGAGCCTATTTCCAAAAAAAGTGGAGTATCCCGTTAAATATGAGTGTAGCCTTGAAAGGTATGGCATAATTTTAAGTTTTATTTAACTCTTTCTTGCTGGTCTTCCAGATAAGTGAAAAACTAAAGAGCATGAGGCTGGAAAGTGACAGCAAAATAAGCTGGAGAAAAGGGGAAGGTGAAGAGGTGTTTCATCAGGAGAGCAATTTCAAATAATACATTTACATGTATTCATTTAGCTGAAGCTTTTGACTTAAAATGTCAGAGATCGCACGCCTCTGGAGCAACTGGGGGTTAAATGTCTTGCTCAGGGACACATCACTGTTTCACAATGGATTCGAACCTGGGTTTCTCACACCAAAGGCATGTATCTTATACACTGCACCATCACCACCCCAAAATGGCTAAATGTACCTCAATGTATACCTTCAGTGTACCTCTTTAAAATGAAAATGTAATACTATCAATGTTATCTTTGACTCCAAAACACATTTCACATTGAAGCACTTTTACGACCCCTTTATATGACCCTTTTAAGTCTATTTAGAGTTGATTCCTAGAGGAAAACCAAACTTACCTCAATGTATACCTTCAGTGTACCTCTTTAAAATGAAAATGTAATACTATCAATGTTATCTTTGACTCCAAAACACATTTCACATTGAAGCACTTTTACGACCCCTTTATATGACCCTTTTAAGTCTATTTAGAGTTGATTCCTAGAGGAAAACCAAACTTGACTGAGCCAATTTTGGACTTGTGTCCACCCATGGCAACAAACTGCCTACGGTCTGATGGGTAAGACTCAATCATGTCTAATGTAGTCTCAGTGGTGCCAAACAGAATCCATACGGGTGAGTTAAATAAAATTGATTGATATCATGATATCAAAAATGTAGGGAAATAAGGCAGGAAATATTCTGTACATATTATTTTTAATTGATTGAGTAATTGAAAACAGTCATTCAAATATACTGTTTGTTTTTTTGCATTTGCAAAGTGTGGTGAGATCTGGTACTACCTCAGCCCTGAAGAGCGCCTGGTATCGAAGTGGCCAGGTGCCTTTTGCTGTCAGGTCAGAATTTCTGGATAAACGTTCCTTATAGCTCATTTAACCCATACCAGTAAATCTAGGTGTATCCCTACACTCATGTAAACCAATACATTATTACTAGCAACAACCATCAATTCAATTCATACTCACCCTCCGTGGAGATGCTTCCGTGGAGTCCTGGTGACCTCTTGCCCTCGCAAGGGTTGCTTTAATGCTCTTACTATTGCTTATAGAACTGGTATTGTGACCCGAGGCAAAGAACTATTCAACTTTTATCTTTATAAAATGAAAATTTATTTATACAAACGATAATAACACTGGTTACACAATGATTGTTAATAGTAGCAACAAAAGAAAAGGTTACAGATTATAATACCTCAGTTTCTCCCAACTTAACAGGGCAGTCCTGTATAAGTGGTTCAGTCACAAAGTTTTTCTTAACATACACAGTTCAAGTATCAAATGAATAACTAACCTTGTCCTTCTATGAGCAGGTTAAGTTAACATCATACAGCTAAGCAGTTAAAGCAATATATGTTCCAGCAAGCTGGACTGAAGAATGATTACCTTCAGGGATGCACGCAAAAATCTTCTAGCAAGATGCAACAACTAACACTGAGAAAGCAGCCTTATTTATACTGGCTGTGTGACACAATCTCTCAGACCATCTGGGTTTTTCCAACGGATACCCTTGCGACACAATAGTCATGCGACTCCTAGTTCCTCTTTTGAGATTCGCTGAGCAGGCACTACGTGTGCATTCTTTCTCCCCTTCCGAGTCTTGGGTTCTCTGGTCCTTCTTGAATGTGTACATGCATATAAATTCATATGTGTTTTTGTAAGTTCATTAAAATCTAAACTCTGCGGTACACCCCCTCTTGAAGTCACAAAAACACGCTTAATAAAATCCCTCGGATAAATAACATCAAGTTCATCAAGTTTAACATTATAAACATAGACAGTGGGCACCACAAAATCCAAACAACACTCATAAAACCTATATCTTAACTCAGACTCTCTTTGGAAGAAGCCAATTATCAGCCTTCCGTACTGTGCCAACAGACAGCCCATCGTTTGTCGATACCAACGCCGGTCCACCGGCATCCACCGGAGTGAGTCCTTTTGTCTTGGGGCCTGGTCCATTGTCACCAGATCTGCCAGGGCCAAGGCCAGTTCGCTTCCCCTGGCTGCTATGCCCTCGTTCAGCACTCTTGGTTCCCATCGAACCTGTGTCAGACGCTCCAGGCAGATCTATATTGGGATCAAGGACAAGCACACAGACAATTTGGCCATTAATACGCGCCTGTCTTGTGCAAAAGCCCAGGACTTCCTTGTGTCTTCTTGGATAGGTCTGAATGTTAACACAGCAGGTATTCTGAAATATTTGCTCCCCCAGACTAAACAAACGTTCGAATCCATCATCTAATTCGATGACTTTCCATTTCATGTCAAGGAAAAATCTCATTTCCCCATATGTAAAATTATGAGTGTTGCCCGGACCTCCACTCCGTGTCCCATGCCTGTCAAAGCAGATGCGAGTCATTTGTCTCATGCTAAAACCCAGTTTCATCACACATTCTGGACAATAAACTCTTACGTCCTTACACTCTTGTTTATATGCTTCAATTCTCATACTCTAACTCTTGAACACTTCAAAACATTCTTCACAAATTAAAAAAAAAAATGCCCAAGCTGCGTCGCCCTCCTCCAGTCAGCAGGGACCTATAGTATGACAACAGAAAACCATAATACATACAGTAAATAAACCATGTCATGAATGAGGTATTTCAAACAAAAAAGACCAACATTATATAAAAAAAACAAAAAAACAAAATTCGTTTCTTCAACCCCAAATAAACCAAACGAACTTCTTATGTTTTTTTTTTTTTTTTCAACAATGACCCCGTCAATCAAACTGTCATTGGTCAGTTGCTGCCCCCCAGGGGGCCCTTCCTGAACGCAGCAACCCCATGACTTGACTGGTCACCATAAATTAAAATTTCCAAATACATCACCCTACTCATACATGAAATGATGTAGTTCAAAAGAAAATGAAAACATTGTTAACAAAACAAAATTGCTTTTCATTTCGAAAGAAACAAACTAAATCCAGACCCTTTTATAAAACAATTTGTAAACTCAACAAATTGGCGAACTCAACATGGTCAGTCAGTGACAATAATCAGGTTTTTTTTTTCTTTCCCGTCACTTTTCTATCGATCATTATATTTCCCAAATTATTGAAACAAAAATCAACATGAAAACAAAAACAAAACAAACAAAACAAAAGAATAACAACCAGCAAGTGCTCTTTTTTTTTTTCAGCACTGTCAAAGTTATTCAGGTTCGTTTTTTCGCTTTCTTTTTTTTTTTTCTACTGCTTTCATCCACAAATAATGCAATCAGTTCGACAATTGTCAATCATCTTCCACATATAGCTATAATCATTAATGCCAACCAGAATGGCTAACATGAATAGCTTCGGCTCGTTCACTTGTCTTGAACTGCCAGCAATAAGTAAAACCAAAAAATAAAGAACAGCCAATTTTTTCACTAAAGGCTTCAAAACGGTATTTCTTCTATAGCTTAAAATAATCAAAAATACGTATGTTATGAGCGCAAGCCCCACACCTACGTATTTGACCCCAATTAATTCCACGTAGCATTTTGTGAAATTGTACACAGTTATAGCTATGGAAAAAAACATAACTGCAACAATTCCCTTTTTTTTTTTCCAAACAATTTAACATATCTCGCACTTCTCAGCAGCTGAGACACTAGAATTAGCACTAATGAAATATCGTCCAAAAAGTTATAAAGTCCAAGGCTCATAAACATCAATACTACTTGCTCCGGCATTCTTTGACTTAATATTCCAGATATCCAATATACAATCAACCATAAATTTATGGAAACTATACTCACAATTTCTTTTGGTCTGTCAATGCAATGCCTTGTAGTATTGCTGTAATTGCCTGCCATTTAGTCTACTGCTGCTGTTGCGAATAGAAGAAAGTTAGAGAGAGTGATGATAGCCTCCTTGTCCGCCACCAACTGTGTGACCCGTAACCTTGTCCGCTCTTTTTGACACTTTCGCAATCCCTGTGCCTGCACTTCCGTCCCCTATTTGGTCATAAGAGGAACTAGAGCCTGTCTATCCTCTGTCGAGTCAGGCAATTTCGACAGTTTCCTGCAGACCAGCCCCAATTTCGAAAGTTTAACGAACACGACCACCATGACTATTATTCCTGTAACAATAGCCAGGCAGATTATGGCAATCTTTACGTGAAACCAAGATTGCACTATTAGGTCCCACACGGAGACAGCGAGTTCTTTAATGTTATCCACCACCCCTAGAATAGCCTTTTTCTGCACTTTCCAATATACAGTAGAAATATCGCCCCTATTTGGCTTAATCAATTGAGATTCGAAGTCCCAAAAAAAACAAATACCCCGGCCCCATGGACAGGCCCCCAAGGTAGACATCCACCGGGTCAAAAAAGCCACGTAATTCCTCGGCGCCATTTAACAGAGCGGAAAAAGCGCATTTTTTTATTATTACCTGATTTCGCGCAATCATCATCAAAGGAGCTGCACCGGTTATCGAGCTTATATCAACCGCTCCACTTATACTGCCAACCCGATCTGCGCCAATCACCTTGAAATTCTTGAAAGTACAAAAAACATGTTCATCTTCATGCATCCACGTAATGTTAGGACTAAACCTATTGCCTGGGGTTTTAATTTTCCATGAATTAAACATTTCCGTGTCACAACATTGCTCTTTCGCCGGTATCCACAAATACTTAACCTCATCCCAATGCCTGTACACAAATTTTCCCAAACCCATGTTCCAGACATTTGACCGTTTCCTTACCTCATCACGGTCATGGTCCTCAAGCCTCAGACTATGTCTCGCGAATGAGCCACTGACTTTGATATCGAATTTGGGTGAGGCCATCAGAATTTTATAGTCAGTATTCGTGACACCTCGCCTTTCCGATGGTTTCAACATCGGCAAATAATATTTACTACTCCAAAAACCATGCGCTAAAGTTCTGGTTTGCAACCCTAAGGTTCTATTCCCTCTTGTCCACACAATCGGGAATATACTCTTATTAACCGGATGATTATGGAATGACCTCCAGCTTACAGTTCGAGTTGTCGTCTTATCCAGTCCCATTACCACTGGAAAAACATCCCACACCCTATACATAAGGTTAGAAAGTCCAATCCATCTCAAAGTCCCCTTGTTAACAGCATCACTATGGTTTGCCCAAATACCTTGATTTCTATGTGTACTCCTATGAACTCCATCCCAGCCCATACAGTACAGGGTAAGCGCAGACCTGTATTGCGGATTGGTCACATAACTCAAGATATAATACATAATGCCCGAGTAATTCGCCAGTTCTATCGACAAACCTGGTCTGGGCGCATACTCTAGGGTCAGAGGATGCAACCTTTTTCCCCCTACCCCATTCGCCCACAAGGTGGCGTTGATCGTCCACGTATCGCGCCTACTCTCCCTTTTCACCATGTCATTACTCGGATCCTGCAACATCATCCAATCATGCCACAGGTTAATAATATCTTTACCGTGCTTCTCAAATTCCTTATAGTCCCATTTAGAGGTGTTATTTAGATAACACAACCATGCGGTCGTCTTACCATAATCAGTTCTGCAATGCTGGTCAATGTTGTACCAAAACTGATTTTCCGGTTTACTACTTACAAATTTGTTCTTGGTCAACAACGGGCACTTACTGCGTCTCTCACACATCCCTATCGGCATGACCAAGTGTTCTCACGTTACCCAGTTTAACTCATCATAGGCCGGCTTAGGTTTATTTTTATAAACACCGACAATTAAAACGTGCGGATTTAGGCCCTTGGGCCAATAACTTTGCTGCACTGGGTCCAAATTATCTTCATTATTCCATGTTTGGTCCGTGATCTGATAATTCGCCCCCTCTGGGGCAGATCTACCGCTACGTCTTTTATCTGCTGGAACTTTATCAATTCCAATCTCTATCGACTGATCCTCAACAGTTTTACCCAACCATTTATTACTGTGCTCCGTAACAATTTCCTTGGTCAGACAATCCCAATGCTGCACCCCAGTTATCTGGAGAACAGGACTATTCCATATTTTGTACACATGCTTACTAAACGTCAAATTAGTGATATCAGTGAGATTGTACTTTAGGCCCCTTAGCTTTACGTGCGTCTGATTATGACCGTCAATAATATTCCATCTCAACCGGGTACTATTTTTAATTACTCTACCCCCGTAAAGAGCTGGCCCCTTAGTAGCACTTATTTTCTGAGCCCCTGTACAGTTCCAAAATGATTTGGCTATATTTTCTATCATTCCTTTAAACATGTCCCTTATCATTTTCGAGCCATATTTCACCCCACCAATATTCACTGTTTGCTCATAGCATATTTTTAACACTAATTTCTCAACCTCAGAGCAGGAGGATACGCTAACCACTTCTGTCTCGTTATCTCCTGATAATCCAAGACCCAATATTAACAATGCTATTCCCAGCATAGTCAGCGCTGACAACAGGCCGATTCACAAGCTGCTTTGCTTCCTCCGCAGCTTTAGGTACTTCCTCTCCAGATGTATCCGCTGTTTCGCCATCCTGCTTCTGTAAAACACACAACAGACACAGAGACATATATCAACCTAAACTTTCCCTAGCCTTTGCCTGATCCAGATTGTCATTCTGCTCAGTGAGCCGGGCTTTGTTATGCTTGATCTGATGAGTTTGACCCCTTCTATTGACTTTCCTACTTCGAGAAAGTCAGATGTAGTTGTCAAATGGACCTGGAACTGCCATAGTTCCCTTCTGTTGTCCGGGCCAATTTAAACTTTCACTCACTCTGTCCCTACAAAAGTCTGTTGTAATCTAGCTCTTACAGTCAGAGAAGTTCCCCTGACATAAAGGCTATATTCTCTGGGCATATAAATTGGATATTCTTCCTGAAAAGACATTTCCTCCAACAAGTTAGTCATCATATCATGCATACTTGCTTCTTTATATACCCCCTTGATTTTATAACTAATCAAGTGCTCCTAGGTCTAGGTCACTGTCTCTGGCCAGTGTTTTATCTAACACCCCACCTTTCACTAACGGATCTGAATCCCTTGGAACCGGTCCCCCCGAACACAGCAATCTTTCCTACAAGAAGGCTTTCTCTGTGTTATTGGCTAAGGCCGCGGATTCACGTCCCATTCCGTC